GAGAGAGAGAGAGAGAGAGAGAGAGAGAGAGAGAGAGAGAGAGAGAGAGAGCGCAGTGACAGAAACAGAGAGATGACACAGTGTGCATGTGGAAGGAAGGAGACAACCTCAGGCCTCTTGTCCACCACTGCATATGCCAGACTAGCTGGCCATGAGCTTCTAGGGATTCTCCCACTTCACTACAGGAGCACCGAGCCCAGGTGAGTTCTGAGGACCCAAGCTTGGGTCTTCACCCACTGCGCCGTATATTCTCATTATTATTTCTTTATTCTGTGTGCCTATTTGTGTATGTACCACATGCAGGAAGGTGAGTTCTGAGGTCAGAAGAGAGCAGTAAATTCCCTGGAGCTGGACTTAAAAGCAGCTGAACCACCCAGTGAGGGTGCTGGGAACGTAACCTTTCCCTGTCATTTGCAAGAGCAACAAGTGCTCCTAATTATTGAACCATCTCTCCAGCCCCTCAAAGTTTTATATTCTTAAGAGAAAAAGAAACTTCAGGTTTGGAAAACGTAACATAAGCAACAAATTCTATAACAAAATGTGTAAGCAAACCTTGTGTGTACTGTGTATTGCACACACACACATATGCACAAGTGCACACTCATATCCGTGTCTGTTTGTAAGGAATAAATGCCTCTGTCACCAGATGCTTCTAGCAGCAGAACTACATGACTGGACGACAAGCAGAGGAAGATTCTAAATCCTGAATTTTATAAATATACTGTCTACTCAAAAAAATCAAATAAAAAGACAAATGCTCAATATGTTATACGTGTTATTCAAAATGCTTAGAAAAATCTGTACACAAGTAAGATTTCTGTAATTGCCATAGTAATTAATTTACATAGTAACCAATGCACCAAAAGAGGAGGTGAAAAAGTAGGGTGTTCGTTTTTTTTTACTGGATTACAAATCCATGGAGACACAGCCTAAGAACGCAGGACAGCTCCGTTCTTAAAGCACTCCTTTCTAGAATTCAAGGCACAGAGAAGCTGTTTTCAATTCTGCACGCAACAGACCAAGAACAATCTGAATAGATTTTACTAGTAATTGTTGGGCCACCAACAGACATATAAGAAGTAAATTTTATTAATCAGCAAAAATCTAAAGCTTACTAAACAAACTATTTTCATTCTAAAAACAGTGTTTCTTCCTCTAGATATCAGTTGGGGTCTACGGTACGGCTGAGTGTTTGCGGAGCACACATAAGACCCCGGACTCAGCCCCTAACAGTCTCCCCACCATCTCAGCAACCCTGCCACAAAACCAACCAAACTGTTCTTCATATAAAGAACAGTTATAAAACATCGGCTGTTTTAAAACATGGAAAGCCTGAGATGTTGGGCGGGGGGGTCACAACTAGATTTTAAAATAGAAACCCAAGAACAATATTTAACAGGGAATTAAAAATACATTTTGTTGATACCTGGAACTAGTCTGGATTTGTTGAGTAGTATAGAGATAAAGCACTTAAAACCATGGACCTATGAAGCTGGAGAGATGGCTCAGTGGTCGAAAGGACTGGATGCTCTTCCAAAGAACCTAGGTTCAATTCCCAGCACCTAAATATCAGCTCACAACCATCTGTAACTCCATTCCTGGCAACCTGACACCAGTCATACACATGGTGCAAAAGCAAGCGTGCACATAAAACACCCACACACATATATAAAAATTTAAAAATAAACAAAACAACACAAATGCATGAACCCCACCAAACCCACACTTCTAGCAGCAAATCTGACTTTCGTAACACTGCTGTTCCTCGCTCTTTCTCTTTCTGTTCTTAAGGTATAATCATACAATCAACCTGTTTTCAAGAAATAAACTGCAAATATGAATCAAAGTGGACTCAGTCCTTATGAAAAGGGTGGCCTAGTCCCTTCCCTGCCGTTATGCTACGGCAAATATTCTTCTGCCCCTTTGGAAGTGCTGCAGACTGAACCTTCCCAGTGCACGGCAAATTCTCTATCACTGACATACATTCCCAGCCCTTTACAGCATGCTTAAATTGCACATTATCTTTTGTATGGGTCTTACCATATGGCGATTTCCGCTTGGTTAAAAGGTAAATTGTCAGAGTTCAAAAAGAAAACAAGCATTTACTTTCAACTAACTATGGGCACCATTAAAACTGCTCGGAGAGGAAGCCGGGTAGGTACTCAGTGGAGGTGAACTTACTGACATAAGGAAAGCAGCTGAATGAAAACATCACAACACACACACACAAACATCAAAGGAAATCTCAGGGACTTCACAGTATAGAAAACACAAAGGATGAACATGGAAGCTGATCAGAGGTGACGGACAGAGTAGAAAAGATGCCTATTCCTTATCTGAAGGCAAACAAAAGAAACAGTCACCCTGAAATGACTCTTGATAAAATAAAATAATCCACCTGTTTCTTTCGCTTGTCAGCTGCTGTTTCAAATGTTTTTATCTACGTGTGCAAGCATGTGGTCAGAGGACAATGTGTGGTCAGTGTTGTACCTCAACTGCGTGTCACAGCACCCGCATCAGGTGTCACAGCCACTGCCTCTACCCACTGAGACATCTAACCATCCTCCACTTCTGTCATCTTCCCAGTGCTGGGATTCCAGGCCTACCCACCATGCCCAGCTCATTTTCATGGTGCTTCTAATGTTTCAGTAAACTAAGCAAACACCAGTCAGTGGATCAGTCTGTGTACTGGTGAGTTTTTTGGCAAGCAGATACAAGGTAGGGCCACGTGGGAAGAGGGAACCTCCACACAAGCCGTGGGGAGGCAAGTCAAAAAGCAGCACTCCTCCACGGCTTCTGCTTTAGCCCCAACCCTGCCTTTTATGATGAACTGTAGTCTGCAGGACGAAATAAATCCTTTCTCCCTGTGTTCCTCTTAGCCAGTGTTTTATCACAAAAATAGAACGCAAATGAGGACCGTCTGCATTCACAAAACTATCTGTAAGTAGCAATGAGAAAAGTTTTAATGTTGGAAGAGTTATAAGGTCAGAAAGCAACTGTTAGTTCTCCCACTAGTCACCAAAGTTTCCCTGCATGGTTTTAGTCTGTACCATTGTTTCTGTGGTCATGTGTTAGCATGTAAAGCTATAACTGTCATCATGTTGGCCATCTGTGTGAAAAAGACCAGCAGCTAGTCTCAATAGTTGGCCATTTATTCAGAGGAAGATAATTAAAATTAATTTAAAGATTTCCCATTATTTCGTTTAACACAACAATAGTGCTTTCTTCATGACGGCATAAGAAAAATACAACATATGAGTTGGGCAGTGGTGGCGCATGCCTTTAATCCCAGCACTTGGGAGGCAGAGGCAGGAGGAGCTCTGTGAGCTCGAGGCCAGCTTGGTCTACAAGAGCCTGGTCTACAAGAGTTCCAGGACAGGTTCAAAAGCTACAGAGAAACCCTGTCTTAAAAAACCAAAGAAAGAAAAAAAGAAAAGAGGAAAAAAAAAAGAAAGAAAAATACAACATATGAATTAAAACCAGAACACATTGTCATTAATTTCTACTGATCTACAATCAGAGTAAAAGCAAAAGCTAATATGTGAACACTTTCAACAATTAAAGCAAGAGGCCAAGCTAACGTTCATTTTATCAACCTAAAGATCCAACCTACGACCCAACAAACAACTATGATAAGTTCTGGGCTCCAGGGACGTATTTCCTAATGAACATAAACAAGTCATGTGACAGCTCTAGTTTTATGCTATCCATCTGTAAACTCAAGCCATCACTTATGATACTTGGGGTTAGTTATGAATTTAAATATGGGAAATAATCACCAATGACCAATATAAAATACTAACCCTAAGGGTGAAACAAAATACTTTGTAAGATTAATATTACACAGAATTTATTTGTGGCAACAAATGAGTATTTTCTTACCTTGGCAACTTTTTGTACAGAAATCGCTTTAGATCCTGAAAGAGAATAATGTTTTAAAGATCATATTACAGTCCGCTCTTGTAGTCCTGCCATAGCCCCCTGAAAGGACATGAAGTCGCCATTTTTAACTGGTGTTTCATCTTTTACTTGTGTAACTTGGAAGAAGTTAACTAACCTTTTTGCTAGGCCTCAGTTTCATTAGGTTTCATTGTATGTACACAGGGATAATCACACAACCTACATGATAAGAATGCTGAAAATTTTACTACAGTATGTATGTCAGTGTACCTGGCACTGGGAAACACAAATACACACTTGCCATAAAGCGAGATGTGTTTCACAACAATTTACGCCCTGATAACACTGTATTCACTTGGTAACAGTCTACGAACTTCCTCCCATGTTCATAGAGATTTTCCATAACCGGTTTTTAATGAGCCTAAGTCAATTAGATAAACTATTCTTATATTCTTGACCAAAGACAACGACAATGTGATGCATTTAACACAGAACATGGTTCAGACTAAGAGAACAGAATGATCTCTCTCTTTACAAACTCATCTGGAAACAATCACTGACAACCGAGGTATCAATTATGAGCTCCACCCTAAACGAGGGCTGATTTGAACCTTTATCTCCAACCCTGAATGAGTATCTTATTCCAATGTCACCGCCACGAACTTACTTTTGCTCTCGTCTTAAACAGACACACAAAAACGGAACAAAGGTTGCAAAAGGGGCATCCATTAGAAATCCTTTTAGATCCCAACAATAAAACTAACGAGACATCACGAGGACTTAGTGGGAACCGTGAACAATACCAACGGAACAGGCACTGATGGGAGGGCTGCCAGTCCTCCTTTAGAAGTAAGTGTTAACTGCCAGGAGCTCCTGTGCTCCCCAATAGGATTGGGAGGTGGGAAGAATACAGTTCTCTCAGGCTAGGGCACATTAGTGGTTCACCACAACCGTTCCTGATAGACACCACGGACCCTGCGAGTCAATCCCCTACAACGGACTCGGGAAGACGGGCAGGGCTCAGAACAAAACCAATTTCTACCTCTCCCCTCTCCGTGGCCTCATGCATTCCTCCCACATCCCTTTTCTTATCGGGAAGGGGTGTCACTCACATCCGCCATGATGAACCCCTTTCTCCCACAGGATCAATCTGTACGCCTGGAAGAGAAACTTCGGTGACTCTCCCAGCACCCCGGGCTGATTTCCCTTCCCAGACCCAGCATCACGGGATCCACCCTCGCCAGAGCCCGGCGAGAGCCGTAGTTCTGGGTCTCGGTCTTGAAACCCAGCCAGGTGGCCAGCCCCGACGGCCCAGCTCCGCCCGCCCCGACAGAAGGGGTCCCCGCGCGGGAGAAGGGGCGACCTCTGCAGACCCTCGCGCACTCCAGCCTGGGGCGACCTGCCCGGGTGTCCCCGCAGTTCAGTCGCCTATAGGAAGCCGCCTGTCAAGCTGCTGTCACATGACTCGTGACCTCCGCGGCGCTCCAGGAAGAACTTCCTATAACCTCCTTCCGGCGATTCGGAAGTTCCGGGGAGTAGTGGCGGAAACCGCGCCTGCGCACTGCGCCAATTGCCGCCCGGCTTGCTCTTGAGGTCCCATCACCCTCTTTTTCACCCATCACACCAACAGCGGAAGATGTTTCTGTGCGGAGTATGCACACCTTTTCTATAAATCCGTTTCCTTAAATACCCCCCCCAACACACACACATAATTTTATGAATGAAGACATTTGAGGAGCACGGACTGAACAGCCTATTTGTTAGAAGTCTCAGGTCCCTAGATGACCCCATTTTCGTACTCTTTGAATTTTCACTTAAAGTCAGTTCAGGAGCCATGAGCGGTAGGCTCGTTTGCCACGTTTGTTTTAAACATGCAAGTACTAAGCTGCCTCTTAGGCTCTGGGTCTGCATTAGTTGTGTCTTATAAAAACTATCTTTTGTTTAGTGTTTTGTACATTCAAGAAAGCCTACCGTATGGGGAAGACTAGAATGCTACCAAAAGAGGAGAAGACTCCAATTGCTTTGGCCCAATGTTTCTCATTAGTGATGCTTTGGTAATTCCTCGTGGTAAATGGCTGCACTGAGGTCAGTTTAGTGGACTCCTGTAGAATCCCAGAGACAAACAGAAATGTGAAGGACTACTGTATGATGGTCTCAGGAAAAATGAAATTGGTGGCTTTTGCTACAGATTTTCTCTTATCTCATTTATTCTTAACAATAGTGTACCTTTAAAAAAAAAAGGCAGATGTCTGGGAATAAATAAATACCTAATCGTCATTTCCGATCCCTAAAAGTAGGAGCGCAAACACTCAAAGACATAGAGGAAATGTATTACCTACAGTTGCCTGGGAGGATGACACTGTTAACTACTCAGTTTAACAAATGACCTCTGCCTAATCAGTTCAGATTGTTTCAAGTGACATGAGAAATTGAAAGGGACATTCTTAAAAGTCACTCCCTCTTTGCCTTTTCACTATTAAAGTACTTCAATTAAAAATTATTATTTTGAGATAGGGTCTCACTGTATATCTGACTGGCCTAGTATTTGCTATGTGGACCAAGCTGGCCTCAGACTCACATAAATCTACCTGTGTTTGTCTCCTGGGTACCAGCTCTAAAGGGCTGACTAATTTCTTTCTTACCTGTGGGATACTGCATAAAGTGATTCAGGTCCCATTCTCGCTGGTCTCCTAACTCTTCAAATGATGGCACCTGTGTTATTATCTTGCAGTTTTACGCCTTCCACAATGAATCCATTCTGAACCTACCCTTTTCATCTATGTTCTGTCTTCATCTGCTCTTGCTTACTGAAAGCTGAAAAATGTCCTTCCTGTATCACCTTGCTCCAACCCAGAAGCTCTCAAAACACCAAGGAGTCCGTTTCTCCTTATACTTTCCTGGAATTCCGACTCTGTAAACCAACAATTGTGTTTGTTGACCTCTTTGCTTGCACCCTGTTTTCTCTAACAATGACTCACATGTCCATTTTTCAGTTCTTTATTGAAGCCCTCACTTCTCGTCAATGAGACCAAATCAGTATCCATCTGTGTTAAGCTTATTATCAGCTTAATAGGCAACTTAGTTTGGGCTCATTATTAGAAGTTTCTTTTCACGACTAATTGGTTCCATTACTTCACATTTGGCACATCAAGATGGGGGATACGTGTTCAAGTAAACCATTGAGAGATACTGAAGACACAAGCTACACCGCCACTTAATAATGCAAACAAAGCCGCTGAAAGTGTGCATATGACCAGGTGCTCAGCAAGTTGCTAGGAATATATCGTCGTAGCCTCCAAAGAAGAACCAAAATGATACTCTAGAAACCCAAATCGGATCCTATGACTCCCTCCTTAAAGATCTAAGGTTTTTGAGAACTGACTTGAGGTGTAATATCATCACCATGATTTGTATATCGTCTTCTGAAGATTAGGGCCCTATCTTAAGTCTCTACCTACTTTATACTAAATCATCCCATAAGTTTGTTCTCATTTCCATAAAGTTTTAGTGCTTTTATTCTTTGGGAATTTCATACAGTGTATTCTGGTAAGACTCAACTCCTCCAAGGTCCACCCCCATCTTCATATCCCCAAACATGGCGTCCTTTTTCCCCTTTCCCAATAATCTATCAAGTCCAGTTTGTGCTGTTCAAATACTCCTGGGTCTGTGGGACTATCCAATGGAGCACAGTCAACCTACATGGGACCACCCTTACAGAAAACTGACACCCCCTCTTTCAGAAGCCATCAACTGTCCATAACTCCTCAGTTAGGGCCCATGAACCCCTCCCCACTCCATGCTAGAATGTTGACTGGCTTGACCTCGTGCAGGCAACCTAAGCTGCCATGAATCATGATGGCACAGTTGGCACACACCGTGTGAGGTTTCTCTCTAGTATTTCCCCTTGCTCCTTTTTCACCTTTCTGGTTTCAGCTTAAGTTTACCTTCTCGGTGTAATCTTCCTTGACCTTTCCAGGACAGTTCAGGTGCTCTAGGTAAATGTTCCCATTGTCCTTTGTGATCCTCTCACATGTATCAAGATTAAAACTACATTAATTTCCTTGACAGTATTTTATTGATTAAATTTACATTTAGAGCTTTGTCTTGATCAGTGAATAATTCCCAGCTCTCAGCTCATGACCTGTAATACAGCAGGGATTTATACATTTATTGAATGATTGAATGAATGAAAGAATGAACACATGAAGACCACAAAATATGCAGTAGGTGGTGGCGCATGCCTTTAATCCCAGCACTCGAGTGGCAGAGGCAGGCAGATCTCTGTGAGTTCAAGGCCAGTCTGGTCTACAGGGTGAGTTCCAGGACAGCAAGAGCTACAGAGTGAGACTCTGTCTCAAAAAACAAAAGAATAAAATATAATGAAGACAAGCCTCTTATGGTGAGAACATCCCTTCTTTTTATTAATATGTTGAGATAAATTACAGACTGAAAGACAAAAATTCATAAATCATTCATTACAACATTCATTAAAAATCAAAAGCAGCTTAAGTTCTCACAGGAAATCTTAGATAAGTCTGATATAACATTAAATTTTTACAAATCAGACCTTTCATTTTTAAACCTAATTATGTGATCTTGAATGCACTATGAAGCTCTCCTTTACCAATTAGTACTTCATTTTCCTAACACAAGGCTTCCATTCAAATCTCACCAGACCTTGAAAATCTGTATCACACCCTGGAAATGACCTGCAGCTTTAAAGAAAAACAAAACAAAACAAAACAAACAAACAAGAACTTTAAGTGGAAAGTTTCACATAGCAACCTAAAGACAAAAAATAAAGCACTTTTTAATATAAATAAATTATAAATACCAATTCATTCTGAAGGTAATGTGAAAATGTTATGTAATGTCACTCAAAAGTCCCTTCCAATGTCCACTGTACCACTGGAGGGCTAAGCAGAATCTTGCTGGCACTTGCATCAGGTGTCTGTTGCCTCTATGCAGTTACTAGACATTTCAGCAAGCAGTCACCCCGAGTTTTAATAACTTCTAAACTAGGACACTTCAAGGACCACTTCTGGGTTACCGGACTCAGAAAGATACAATTTTGCTTGATGCATGGGCCTTAAATTGGGAATCTGCATTAAAACATGGACATAAACTGAAAGGATTCACATCAATGAAATCCTCTTCACTTATGATCAAATTTTGAAATAAGAACCTACTGCTAATGGAAGCCCTGCTCTGTGCAACCAGTATGGTATTTATTAAACAATCACACATCTGAGGTATTAGCTGGAATATATATACATTATATATACACTTATACATGGACACACCCACAGAATATTCACAGATCTATTGGCCCCTATACCAGCAGAAGATCAAATTAATTGAAAAAGAATCACGTAATAGGAAAAAGTTACACAGCGGGCATTTACAAAAATGTGGTTACATAATCCTTAATATAAGGAGCATGTTTTGAATCATTGCTTTGAGGAAAAAAATGTTTCCACTTATATGAAAGTATCTGTTTTATAGAAGTGAAACCAAACAGGGAGCCTGACTTCAGGACTGTGAAGCCGACCAGATTATTAAAGGTTGTGCAAGAATTGCTTCAATAACCTGGTTCTTTCTGCTTTTGTTTCTGTTTCTTACTGTAGTTGAAACAGTCTGACAAGATACCCAGGCTAGCCTCAAGTCCATAAATCCCCTACCTCACTTCGTGGTTTAAGTATTGGGACGACGTGTATGAGCTACCACGCCTGACTTCTACTTGTAATGGAAAACTGGATCTATAGAAAAACAAAACGTAGAGGTTACTGTCAGGTTTCTCCTTTATTTTCATTGGTTTACAGAGAATTTTAAAGACTCCACCTATTCTGATATGGCTAGCAGACAAAAGTTTTTAGCGATCTCATGAATTAAAATTCAGGATGTTCATTTTCATACACTTTCTATGTAGATAATAAAAAAAAATGTTATGGGTTTCCTTTCAGTTCGCCTCACTCGATAAAAAGACAGATAGTAAGACATCCAGAACTAAGCTCAAGCGTCAAGTGGGGAAGCTAAGCAAAGACACTCATTTCTCTTTAAACCACTTGGTCCTTTGTTATAAGACTTGCCTAATTGAAAGGATGGCTCATGCGGCCCTCGGACCCACCAGTCATCATTTCACCGCTTTAAAAAGCAGGATAAAATTAAACCTCTCAGAACACAGCAACAACTGTATCATGTGTGAAATAGCTGCATTCAATGTTACTAATAAAGATAAAGAGAGTAAAAACTCATTTACTTTACATATCAGTGTAAAAGTTTGAACAGCAAGAAAAATTCAGCATAAAAGTGCATTTGAAGTCAAGGGCAAGCATTCCACATTCCTGTTCTTGGGAACACCTGAGCTGAACAAAACTGAGTACTTTCACACTCCCGTGCACATGAGCACATGCACGCACACAGAGACATCCTATATACTGTAAGGACCTTGATTTTCCTTATCAACTACTTGACAATCATGAATAAGCATGTAGTGGTTATGAAATGACCATGCACTCAAATGCAATCAGGTCTCAAAATGTTGTTTTCACTTCTTAGATGGAAATCTTGAGGTTTCTCAATGTTCAGTTAGCCTATTTGGTCAAAAAAAAAAATCCTAAGACTTCAAGATAACTAAATAACTAATGTTAGTGGATTCAGGAAGAAGGGAATGAAAGGGGGGAAGGTGCGGTGTTCCTTCCTCCCAGAGTGTGGATGAGCGTGTGTGCATGCTTCTCTGTATGTAAAGAGATAAAGCGTCAATTACTAACAGTGTAACTACCTCTCCCAAACTCCCTAGTTAATATGCAAAGGTAAAGAGCTGCTGGGTAAAGATGAGCAAATGAAATTGTGAAACGTCATGTAGCTACAAGGCAGGAAAATATCGGGCTTTGTATCACAGCGTGAGTAGCAAGCACGCAAAAAAAAAAAAATCTCTCAGCTCACGTCATCTAAATACACATGAAGTTAAATTCAAAGCCACCAACTATTTCCTTCCACAATTCAGGCATCGTTAACAATTCAGTCTTTGCTTATACACTTTATATGTAGCTTAAGATACCAGTCAGTCAGTCAGCCATGCCCACAGCTAATTCCAAGTTCTGTTTAATCTAACCCATAGTGTCATAAAAATGATGGGATGCAGCAAAGAACCGGAAACAATACTGTCCGAAGCCATGTGTGACTCGATGCTGTGTTAGTGTCTCTCAATCCGACCTATCTTCTCTACCCCTTTAAGGATGGGATTTAAGTAGGTTTGGTTTGTGTAAATTCTATCACATTAATGTAAATTTCCCACTGAAACAGGAAAAATAGCTTAAAGATTTTCATTCAAGTTCCTACAAATTTCTGAGATACAAGCTTTCAAAGTTAATTAGAACGCTCGCTATATTTTAAGTGACTTATTCTACAGGCTCAAGAGAATATTTAAAATTCTGTGGCGTGTGCTCACTTCTGCAGCACATGTATTAACGGCAGAACAGTATGGAGAAGAGCATGCCCCCTGTGCAAGGACGACATGAAAATTCACGACGTTTCTATATGGTTTAATTCAATGAAAGGCAAACAGAAACAGAAAGTAGGCACAGTGAACTCCTTTGAAGAAAAAAAAAGTGGGAAGTAAATCGGGGAAGTCAAGCAAACGTAAAACCATGAGGCTCACGGGCCACATGGAGGTGGAGACAGAACTTTCCAACGGCAGGTTTCCACTAAAATGCAAAGACAGCAAACTGTTATTGTGCTCGCGGGTGAGGGCTAGCGCCAGCTTTGGTCAGACAAACTGATTTCTGTGGTGGGCAGAGGTGACTTCGGAGCTCATAATGGTCACAGTAATGAGACGTGACTACTGAGTGCTCAGCATAAGGGGACACCTGCACTGCCCACTCTGAGGCTCAGAGAACACTGAAGAGCAGGGGCTGGAAGTAACGCGAGAAGTGGCGATGTGTTCCGGAACACTGCTTTCTGGCCATGACACAGTTATCACACTGTGATTCTGCACATGGTCTCTATAAGGTCGGGCCTATCCACATCCCATTGCGTGGGGGGCGGGGGGGGGTCGCTCAAGAGGTTACACCCTGCCCTGAGCATCTATCTATCTATAGGCAGTTAGTGGTTGATGAGGGAGGGAGATGTTCCCTTCAGGGTTGCAGGCACTGGTAATGTGTCTATGTTCCTGTAAATAACCCCTCACCTATTCTCTACATGCAACCATAATGAAAACCCCAACAAAAGACTGAAGGAGAGAGGAACATGGGGGGGGGAGACGATGGAATGTATTATTCATGTGTATGAACATGTCACAATGAAACCCATTGCCATATGTAACTAATATGCACTAGTAAAATACAGCTTTTGAAAAAAGAGAGAAAATGAAAAACTTAAACCTAGTCGCCGAGGTGAAAGAGCTATAGCATGATGAGGCTGGAGTCTCTGAAGACACCGCCTATGGAATTAAGATAGAAAAGAGAATCTGAGGGCTGCTGGGATGGCTCAGTGATAAAATACAGCCTGCACAAGTCTGAGGACCCCAGTTCAATCCACAGAGCTGAACAAGGCGTAAGAAGAGAACTAACTCCTGCAGGGTGTTCTCTGACCTCTACATGTGCACCTTGGTGCGCGCACGCGCACACACGCGCGCGCACACACACACACACACACACACACACACAACATAAACAGAAGAATAAATAAAATTTATAATAAAACAATTTCGAACAGTCGCAAGAACCACAGGAATAACCAGCGGTTGAAGCCCTCACAAGCTTGCAGATGAATGTTCCAGGTTAAAGGCCGTGCTAACAGAGCAAGGCAGAAAGCTGAACAGACTGGGACAATCAGTGCAAATCTGGCTGGAGACCAAAGGGACAACTAAGGAAGTGACTGAGTTGAAATAGTTTGTACAACACGCCATTTTCAGATCAAACATAGACGAAATAAGACTACAAAAGTGTGCTGGACTTAAGAAACTATTACAATGAAGAGCAAAGGACTTACATGAACAAGAAACTTAAGAATTTAGTTGTCACAGATCATTAAAAACAAGAGAATTTTGAAATGGATATTTCAATGCCTATGTTAAACATGAGAGCCATGATCTTCATGGGAAATGGAAAACTATGTATTCTTCTGAATGAAAATACACATTATAGCCAGGTGGTGGTGGTGCAAGCCTTTAATCCCCACACTCGGGAGGCAGAGACAGGTGGATCTCTGTCTACAGAGATTCAGCCTGGTCTAAAGAGCAGCCAGGGCTACACAGAGAAACACTGTCTCAAAAACCAAACAAACAAAACAAAAATCAAAAGAAAACAAACAAAAAAAAGGCCCACTTTATTACCAGGTATGGGAGCTCATTCCATTAATCCCAGCATGGGTGGGGGTGGGGCACAGGCCAATCTCTGTGAGTTCCAGGCCAGCCTGGTCTACACTGAGAGTTCCAACCAGCCAGAGCTACATAGTGAGACCCAAAATACAGAAAGAAAGTGAAACACTGAGCAAGCACAAAACGCATCACAAAAGCAGCATGGCAGCCTCCTCAAGGACCAGAGGACTCTGGGAAGAGAAGCACTAAGTCTTATCATCTTCCAGAGAACAAGGTCAAAAGGTGAAGGAAATACAAAGAAATTAAAGAAATAATAATGGTTAGATGTAATTCAGAAATCTGCAAACTGAATGCTGAAATGAGAGCTGAAGAAGATTTGAATGAAAGAGAAGTAGAAAAATATAAACAGCTATGTTTAGAGGCATGCAACTTTAGGGAGCCATTCACATGAACTAAACTACTAATTCAGGCTAATCATCAGACAGGAAGTTTGCTGAAGGAAGCAGAACAGAACTTGGAAGGCTGAGAACAAGGCCCAGAGTGCCCTGGAATTGTGAATGTGACATTAGTGTAAAACTCAACCCCAGTTTATCACAAGCGAAGAGCAGTGATGCCTACGTCAAGCCCTCGGCCTTCGTGAGAGCATGGAGAAGAAGCCATGGACAGACACATACTGAGGAGGTAGATGCAGCCACTGTGGTACATGGTCCTTTGAAGGTGTTCCTCGGAATCTAGAAAAGTCAAGATTCTACTTTAGAGAGTGAAAGAAATATGGATGATGTTGAGTAAAAGACTCTTACAAAGGATGACTAGACATGCAGCGCTTTAATAGTTTTATATTAAATGTATGGTGTGAGAACTTCAGGATGACATTTTCTTTGTGGCACTCCTCTTGTTAAAGGTCCCATTTCTAGGCATGGTGGGGCTGTCCAGACACCTAAAACCATGTGTGTAATTACAATCAGGTGATTCTACTGAAGACTCTGACAACAGAACACAAGAGACCATTTTCAAGACAGACAGATGATAAAACAGCAATATTTAGAAAAGAATCCGTAAGCAAAACCACAAAGTCTCTCTACCTAACATTTTCGTTCTTGAGCAAGGGATTGCGAAAGACAGGGGGAGGACGGGATAGGACAACAAACTACCAAAACTATGTTTGTAATTCCTTACCTGTATGAAGCAAAACCATGACGCCATCACTATCGTTAAACATAGAAGACCAGAAATCGTTTCAAACCCAGAAAGCACCAAAACTTCAAGTCCCAGCTGTGTTTTCCCACCGTGTAATACAGATAGAGTTAGAAGAAGCTGAGTCTAAAGATCTGATGAGTTGCCTGGGACAGGTGAGCTTAGCTCAGATGAGCTCCAGCTGCTGCTCGACCTCTGCGCAAGGCCGCGTGCGGCCCAACAGAGCATGCTCTGTCAGGTAAGCCAGCAGCAGTTGGAAAGGCACATAGCTGGGTGTTAGTGGTCATTTTGTTCTTATTACGTATTTGTAGAAGAATCCATTTGCTTTGGGGTCCTGCTTCAGTTATATCCATGAAATTGAATTTCCATGGGAAGAAAGTTCATCTTTTGTTTCATAAGCTTTAGTAGCCTTGAAAGATATATAAATGAACATTTGGGGCTAACTTTTAATTACCAGAATTGTGAATGTCATAATTGCAACTTACCATTGAAAACTCATTTAGCATAATATTTATCATCATATTTTCTTTAAAATCTATCTTATAGCATTTTGTTCCTATGTATGGCTTAGCAATTCATAAAACTAAAGAGCATACTGATAGTATATACCAGTTCATTTATCTCATTACATATTCTGGAATATAAGAACAATGTTAAAAATGTCAATTCCTTCTACACTGTTATAAGCTTTTACATAAAGTTTTGTCTTTTCTTTTTGAAAAAGTTTCATTGTTTAAACTTCACTCACCCAAATATCTAATGGAAAATGGTACTGTGTCATAAACATTCATTCCATCAGCCCAAACGGAGCGCCTCATGGAGCTAAACGCTAAAATAATTTAAATAAAAGGCAAGCATTCATATATACACAAAATGATTCTAAAAATATTTACATGGCAAAGGAATAATGAAGAATCACTACAGCTGGCAACGCTACAGGTGTGAGAATCCTCTCCAGACATCGGAAGGAAGCATGTAAGATTTCAAAGGGACAGGATGTGCAGAAGCATACTAAAATAGTTAGTTGTCCGCTCTTACTACTGAATGCGCCAGTAGGTCATTAACAGTCCAAGATCTCAGGAGTCAACTACTCAGCTTAGTCTTTAATCAAATCTTCTTCGGCTTCACGGCGAAATGAAATGTACAGAAAAGACAGAGTACATGGGAAGGAGTAGGCGGGACTTCCGGCCTATCCCCCCTTGTAGAGACTGGTCAGCCGCTCCAGCTCTTTGCAGTTGTCCATGCTTAGAGCATCCGCCTTCCTCCGCAGCCGCTCATCACGGTACACTTTAGCAGCGTACTGCATATCTGTTTCTGTATACAAAATATTCGTTAGTTAACAACAATTTACATTACCTTAGTTGATTAAATTTAAATAACACTTTAGAGAATTCATATATATATATATATAAAAATTTCTCTGAACTGACTTTAAAGAAAGAACCAAGTACAATTCCTATAAACCATTTCACTAGGACTTTCTCTTTTAAAAAAAATTTTTGAACAGGGTCTCTACACAGACCTGGCTATCCTAAAGGTCAGTATGTAGACCATGCTGGCCTTGAATTTGGATGTCCTCCTGACTTTGCCTCTGAGTGTTATGATTAAAGGTGTGCACCACCACCTCATCAGGCTTTTTCTTTATATATAACTTTACTGTGACTTAGCACACAAAACCAGCACCAACAGGGAATAAGGCTAGAGCCCTGCCATCTCCTCCCAGAGTCCCTCCCCTTTACTCCAGAGCCCAGCAGCTAAGGTACTGGGATAACTTCTCAGCCTTTTCTAAAATATCACCTGAAACCAGGGCTTCCCATGGCTCTGTGTGGTTTATGATAATTCCAACAGTTAAGAACACAAATTAAGCTGGGTGGTGGCACACACCTTTAATCCCAGCACTCAGGAGGCAGAGGCAGGTGGATGAGTTCAAGGCCAGCCTGATCTACAGAGCTAGTTCCAGGACAGACATCAGTACATAGAGAAACCCTGTCTCAAAAAACCACTCCCCCAAATAAAGACACAAATTAAAATAA